AACCAGACTTCCCAGAGGATGAAGAATAGGCTGGGGAGGAAATTGGACACTAGGCTACTTGAGGTCAAGATGAAGATTCAGGGGCATCCTTAATACGTGCTTTCCAACTTCTGAGGAGCTACTCTAGGGAAGAAGCAGCAGCCCACAAAGACTATTTTCTTTAAAAGACAGCACCCAGCTCAGTGTATGGAAAATTTAGGGAGGTGGTCTTTGATTTGATATTTATGTCTTCTCTTCTCTTCTCTTCTCTTCTCTTCTCTTCTCTTCTCTTCTCTTCTCTTCTCTTCTCTTCTCTTCTCTTCTTTTCTCTTCTCTCTTCTCACCTCTCCCCCTCCCCTCCTTTCTTTTCTTTTCTTTCTTTCTTTCTTTCTTTCTTTCTTTCTTTCTTTCTTTCTTTCTTTCTTTTTCTTTCTTTCTTCTTTCTTTCCTTTAACTTTTAACCTCTTTCTCTCTTTCTCTTTCTTTCAGCACTTTCTTCTCTCTCTCTCACTCACTCTTCCCTCCCCTTTCCTTCCTTCCTTCCTTCCTTCCTTCCTTCCTTCCTTCCTTCCTTCCTTCCTTCCTTTTTCTTAGAGACAGGTCTCACTCTGTTGCCCTGGCTAGAATGCAGTGGTGAAACATTTTCCTACTTCAGCTCCCTCTTGCTCTTGAGAATGTCTCATCTTCTCCAGATTCTGTTGCCCTGGCTAGAATGCAGTGGTGAAACATTTTCCTACTTCAGCTCCCTCTTGCTCTTGAGAATGTCTCATCTTCTCAGATTCATTTCAGATAGCTTTGAGAATCCTCCAGACAAAGTTTCATGTTTGGAAGAGGCTTCTCAGCTACTCTCTGCGTTCTGTCCAGCATGTGTCTTCTCTCTCGTTCTGATTCACTGTGGCAATATCATTGGTTGAGGCCACTGATTGATTAAAAACCTAGAGCCACTTCATGACGTGCTTCCTTCTTTCCCAATCCAGTTGTAGGCTACTCCTGCTTTCTGCTCAAAAAAGAATTCTAGCCCTGATATGCTGCCTGTAGTCGACTTGTGTCTAAACCCCAATATAAGCTGTATACAGTAGATTAGGATTAACCTGTGATCCTAACATCTTATGTACAGATTTGTGTTATTGTTTCTTCTCTTCAGTGTACATCTTGTGTCAAAGGACTCAGTATTGAGTGCCTGGGGGCTGGAGGAATATATGAAAAACTGACAATGTGGTGTATTCAAATAGGCCCCACCCTCTGACACCATCTTATTGTCTTTGAGTCAAACCTTTGTTTCCTGAATCTCTCTTCCATGGATTAGCTTGACTCTACTACTTCCACTGGCTTGAGAGACACATCTGAATCCTAGGGTTGTCATGGCACATGTCCTAAAATTTAGAATACTGATACATAAGGAAAAATATTTTAGTAGTTGGAGTTAGCTTCTCAAGTGGAATGTGGTAGCTCAAGAAAGAATAACCTCCTTCCAGTAGAAATATGCAAACAGAGGCTCAGCACTTATGTGAGGGATGTTAGGGAAATAATTCTGTATGAAGGAAAGGCAGAAATGTGGACTAAGTATCTGTCATAGTCCATTTTCTGTTGCTATAGCTGAACACCACAGACTGGGTAATTTATAAAGAATAGAGGTTTATTTAGCTCATGATTCTGGAGCCCAGAAAGTCCAAGATCAGGTGGCCACATTTTGGGAGGGTCTTCTTGCTGTGTAAAGGCATCATATGGCTAGAGAACAAGAGTGCGTGTGTCAGTTCAGGTCTCTCTTCTTATAAAGCCACCAGTCCCATCATGGGGGGGCCCACTCTGTTGACCTCATCTAGTCCTAAATACATCCCAAAGTCTCCACCTTCAATCAGCGTAATAAATTTCAGGCTTAAGTTTTCAATAGATAAAATTTGGAGGACACATTCAAACCATAGCAGAATCTAATAAGGTCCTTTTCATCTATAATGAGATACTGTTTGGGCAATTCTGCTACTATATTGGTATCCTTGACAGGATAATTAATTTAATTAACAGCAGCGATAGTGAGAAGAGGGAACAAATGCACACGTGCATGCACAGACCCATGGAACACTGTATAATACTCCATTGTCAAGAATGCTCCTTCGTTAAGAATTTTTTTTTTTTTTTTTTTTGAGACAGACTCTCATTCTGTTGCCCAGGCTGTAGTGCAGTGGTGTGATCTCGGCTCACTGCAGCCTCCACCTCCTGGGCTCAAGCAATTCTACTGCCTCAGCCTCCTGACTAGCTGGGATTACAGGCTCCCACCACCACGCCCAGCTAATTTTTTTGTTTTTAGTAGAGACAGAGTTTCGCCATGTTGGCCAGGCTGGTCTTGAACTCCTGACCTCAAGTGATCCACTCGCCTCAGTTTGGTTCTTTCTTCAGTTTTCTCTTAGGGATTACTCAACACTGTTAAAAGAATTTTAGCAGTCATTGTAACACTCAGTAACTTACATATAGAAAATACTTAATAAATATGAGTGTTAGTGAATCTGGAGAAATACCGCTTTCTATTCACTTACTACCTTACACTACAAGATGTCTTTTTAAGAGTCCATTTGCATTGTCTCTCCAAATGGAGGGCGGGGCTCATGGCTTACCCTGTCTTATGATCCCCAGGAATCCTAGCTTTTTCTTTGCCTAACCTTAGAAGATGCTCAGTTAATGATAGAAGTCCACTGTTTGTTTCATCCAGGAGAGATTGTGATACTCACTGTGCTAGATTTAAAATGGCTCTGCTATGATCTCTGAGACTTGGGAAGTCTATTTTTAATGTATAAGAGAAAAGGTTTTGAGTTGTACAGGATTTTGATTTTTTTTCCCCTATACCATGCAGCTCAGAAGTAAAATGGTTTAGGTCAAAATCAATTGAACAAAAAGAAAGAAGACCTTGCAGTCTAGTGCTAGTCTTTGTAATTTCTAGACATATGGTCTTGGAGAAATTAATTAACTTCTTTTGAATCTCTGTTTCTTCATCTGTAAAGACTATCTAAATTGAATGATAGTGGTATTATTTACTTAGTGAAGGACAAAGAGATGTTTACATACTGTACTCAAAAGGTCAAACAGATGGGATTATTTTAGATTGAAAGCTCATGTGTGGGAGTCATGCCTTTTGTGAGCCACATAAATTCCCATGGGGTCTGGTAACTTACTGTGTGCCCAGCAGGAACCCAAAAAGTCTTGTCATGGTGATAAATATGACACCATTTAATAAGGTCACATTTAACACAAAGAGAAACTTGGGAAAGAAAACAAAACAAAAATCTAGACCTCATCCCTAGGTACTTTGTGTGACTTTGGACAGGTCACTTTACCCCTCTGAACTCTTTAATTGATTCATAAAAAGAACCAAATGCTAAGAAGGGGAGGACAGGCATATAAATGGAATAGTAGAAAAGATTATTGAGCCCATGAGGTGGGAAGTATAGTATCCTGAAATGTATGATACCCTGAAATTGTTGGCTTCCTACATGTATTCTCTTCAAAGGGAGAGAGTTCCCATAAAAATTATGCTTGGACAATACTTTTCAAGATATTTATGGGAGTTGCTTTGGATACATGGTATGCTTGAACTGAGAAGGAGCTTTAAGATATTTTAGATTAACCTTTTAATTTTATACATGGAAAAAGAAAGTCTCGAGGAAGTTACACAAATTCTTTAAAATTATATAACGTGTGAGAGAACTAGCACTAGATTTGCAAGGCTGTGAGCCACTGGGGAATTCAAGTTTGTTTGTTTTGGCCTATTTTGCTTATTTTTGAGTTTAAGTGGCAGAAGGTGTTCTTATTTTCTTGGTGCCTTACTTTTCAAGAGGTCTTGTCAATGCCCCCTTATTTCTTGTCTGAAGAAACAAAATAAATCAAAAAGGGAATTAATTTTACAAATATACTATGTGCTAGCCAGGCAGTACCCATTGTTGGGCATTGGTAATACAAACTTGCTACAAGGCACTTGCTGTCCTTGGATAGATTTCTGTTTTTCATTCCTTCACATTGTTAACATTGAGCAATCTGCTTAGTCAGGAAAAGGCAACACATTGTAAAGGTATGCAGATATAAAAAAATCGGAGTCCAATGTATGATTCATTCCTATAGTAGTCCTGATGTAGTCCAGTCCAAAGGACAATTTTCTCCATTAGACATTAACTACCATCAATTTCTTCTCTCATGAAATAAACAGATTCTGTCTTGGAAATATAAATTTTTTCTGCTAATGAGCTTTTTTACTGCTTGGGAGTCTTCTATTTTAATCTGAGACTAAAGGATAGAAAGAGAGGCTTCACAGGCAGCAGGAAATGGAAATGACAGTAGACCCTAACTCCCTCTCCACGTGTGCATGGATATGGAAAAGGGCTTTGAAAAAGGCACCACTTATAATAGCACAGTCCAGGGAACTGGGTGTTAAAGTCAATGCCCATGATAGGAGAGCTGCTCACGCTTCTTACAATATCTTGAATACTCTTAATCCTTTTGCAAATACTTACTTTGTTGTAAGACAAGTCAAAGCAGATATGATGATGTCTTAGCCGAGGAAGAAATTGTGGCTTCTTGGATGCAATATAGCAAAGAGGATTGTCTCTTAAGAATAATAAAAAATAGTTTTTTTTTCATTTAAATCTGGTCTAGGAAAAATATCCTCTTGAAACTCTTTTTACTATTAGTTTTGTTTCCAAAAAAACACTGATCTGAACAAGATTAAATAAGCAAATCAATGGCTTTCTGGGTTTAAAGCAACTGAATTCCTACTGATCTCCCTTTATACTGAAATTTCAACATAGATTCTTCACAAGAGAAGAATGATGAACTGAATCCCATATGACACTCAAGAAGATGTAGGACAAGCAAATAAAAGTGGTTCCAGGGGAGCAAATAATCTTCCCAGCCCTGCAAATGATTCACTTCTGCCCTATAGTTTGACTCTTCCAAAATCTGGTTTTCAAAACAAATTAGTCCACCTCTGAAAAAGGCATGCTGACTTCCCAGCTGACAATTATAAAAGTGACCCTGTCTACAAGCATCTGATGAGTGAGTGTCTAGGTTATAGAAACAGAGATACCCTCTTTCCACTGTAATATTTCTGTTGATAGGCTCTGTTTAGAAGATTAATTATTAATGTCATCATTCATGAATTACAGGGAATGAAAAACAGGAGAAAGGGAAGCAGAGAAGGATGTGCTAATGTTACGATGTTTTATAACATTTTCAAACCCTAAGTTCTTCCACCAATCGGACCATGTCACTTAAATTTAAGGCTCTAATAACATTGGCTTACAGAAATATTTTCACTTGTATGACTTCACTCGTCCTTGATGCCAGAGTTCAAAAGGGTGTATAAATAAGACAGGAGGAGGGACACATTATCACAGACCAATAACAATGACAACAAAAGTACCTCAAAGCTCTTAACAAGTATAAAGCTAGAAATGATCTGAGGCTTGTGAAAAATACTGATTAACACAAAAATGATTTTAAAAGCAATATTCAGAAAAAGTAGAGTAATGGAGACCTGGTCCTGGCACAGATGGTGTTACCTTAAAAATATATCACAGAGAATGTATAATTATTGACTGTATTTATATCTTCTCTATCCAAGATCTTCACATTTGAAAGGAGCAGACAAACATCACCAGTATGATGGGACTGAAGCCCAAGATTGGTAACGTGATGGTAGGAAAACATTCATTTTCTTTAACTCGTGTTAAGTATCTAAACAGAAAATTTCATTTTTATAGCATAGAAATTTTGTATATTTGGTTTGCAAAATCTGTTTTGTTCTCCAAAATAAGGAAAGCTATGGAAAATGGCAAATGTCTCCCCCTTGCCCTAGAAAAATAGATATAAGTTAGTGTTGTTACAGTTTTTTTTTTTTTTTTTTTTTTTTTAAGTAGACTGTGGGAAATAAAAAGAAGCTAGTGACCTTAAGACAATTTTCTAAAAACTTTTAAGAAAATTATACTAAACTTATCAGCTTGTTTTCATGACTGCGAGTATTGAACATAGAAAGTAGTAATAATTAGAAATCAGCATTGACTTATTAAAACAATTCATGCCAAAATAAATTCATTGCATTTTTATAGCCTTCAGTGCAGAATTTAATGGAGTGTTGGGTTATACATATAGAAATACATGGAAATAAAATATGGTGAGTTTATGTGAATTCATACCTGGCTGAAGACCTGTATCCAAGAACCACCATAAAACAATTTGTGTCCGGTTTCAGCGGGTCTCTATTGGTTTGCAACAAGACTCTGTACTGGGTGATACTGTTGAATGTTTTTATCAATAAGTATAATGATGAAGTAGAAGTCGGGCATATCCATTCTGTGTCAAGCACCAAACTTGGCACTATACAGAGGCCACACTGTGTGACTGAAAGGATGAAAGGCTTGCAACTCCTAGGGGAGTTTGAATTCCAGCTCTATACTTACTAGCTGCTTGACCCTTGACCTCCAGTTTTCTCATTTGCAAAATGGTAACTGCCTTGCAGGACTGTGAGGATCACAATAGTTCATGGATATGAAGTGTTTAATTTGGTGCTTGGCGCAGAGCAAATTCTGTTTTCCCTGTCTTTCTCCTCCTCTCTTTCTGGTAAAATGGTTTTTTAAATAAATTTAACTGAGTCACCTACTGGTTTGGTTCACACTGAATTACAGTCTTAAACAATAAATGCACACACATACTTATTTCATGTTATTTCCCCTTCTTTCTACACAAAAGTTACTGTAATAATTTTCTTTCACAGAAGTGCCAATTTGCAGTTTTCTCACTTAATGCATCTTGGAAATCAAGATGTCAGTATAATAAGTTTACGCATTTTCAATAATGAACCCAGTCACTTGGTTCAGGTTTTGCAGGTCAGTAGGAATTTTCCAGGCAGATGGTAGAGGGAATAGTTTTCCATTGTGAGGAAACCGGATAGACCAGGGCCCACTTGCCCAGTTATTTAATTTGTTCAAGAAATGTTTATTGAGTACTTCAACATGCCAGGCCATAGGCTAAATAATTTTTGTTCATGTCATTGAATCCTCACCACAACCTAATGGGATAAATAATATTACTATCCTCATTGTACAGATAAGGAAGTTGAGGTTACCAAGATTAAGTCTCTCACCTAAGGTCAGAAAAATACTTAATAGAGGAAGTCTGATTCGGAGCCAGCCTGTTTTGCAGGAATCATGCTCATAATCGCACACTCACTTCCAGATAAAAGGCAGGTTGGAGCAGAGAGGGTTCTAGATATAGGAGCAGCAATGCAAATGGCCAAGGGTACAGGAGGATCAAGAGTAAAGGAGCTAAAATTCTCCATTGTTGAAGCAACTGTGAATAACATTAGTAGTTGTATTGTGGGAACAAAGTTGGAAACAGCGTGGCAAGAGGTGAGGCTGAAGATGCAGGCAGGCCTGGCATGGGTTTGCAGGTCCAGCAATGTGTGGCTTAAGTCCTGTTCCTTGTGCATGGGCCAGAAAGTGGTGTGAATGCCCTCAGTCCTTCTAGTAACCTCTTGGAGAAGGCTGCTGTGTCAGGCCCTCAGGCTGAGACTAGGAGAGAACGCTGAGGCTTCAAGGCCCCTGGTTGAATGGGGCAATTTGCTGTAGGAAACCCGCCAACTTAAAATGCTTTACGAATACCTTAGAGTGACACCTGGGATTTCTGGGCAATTTGAGGGGTGACTGGAGCTTCTGAAGCTCTTATATTATAGGTCGTGGCTTTGGCTTTTGACAGGGTTGGGGCAGGATACCTTGGGTGTATCTCTAGTATGATTAACTAATGTAATCATAGGGCATCTTTATTTTTGTCCCTCACTATCCCTTTAAATGGATTCGGTTGGGGAAGCTCTTCCCTTTGTAATGAATGGTAGTCTCCATGAAATTCTCTGGTCACATTCAGATCATAAAGAAGAAGTAAAGGTATTACTTTAAGTCTCAAGACATTGTCACATTCGAATCTGTAAGGGTGGCGGGGGAGTTCTCACTTGCCTGGCACTCACCTGGTGGCTGGCATCACTTTCTCTCTGGACTTGGCAGGTGGGTGAAGCAGGCTCATTCTACCACGGATGCTTTCATTCTCGGAAACCCCCTCCTCCTGTCTGCCCCCAGATCAGCGAGGGTCTATCACCTGTGCTTTCCTGCTTGGGCTGATTCCTTAGGCCCTGTGCAGTCAGCAAAACCTTGGGCTTCTGTCAAGGTGTGAGTGATTCCTGGGCATTCCTCTTAGAAGGAACTAGGGCAGCCTTGGCTGGCTCAGCTCTGTGTGCGCATCTCATGCACAGCCTCATCCAGGTCCTTGCTCCACACTCACACATTCTGGATTCCAGGGACTCCAAACCTGCCACCCCTTCTCAGCACAGCCTCTTTTCTTTGCATCCTGTCAGAAAAGTTAATCAGCCTATCTCGTGCCTTGTAGGTTTTCAGGTGGGACTCAGACACCAACCTAAACTGCAGAGGACAAACACTAAGTTCTTGGAGTAGTCCTATTGAAGCTGTTATTCACAGGCATGAGTTGAGGGTCCAGCACCTGCTATTGCTCTCTCCAGAAAATTCTTCCTTGAGTTTATGGGCTGGAGGTTAGGGGTGTCTCCCACTCCCTTGGAGCCGAGATAGGGTGATTGTGACTCAGAGCAAAGGCCTCTTGAGATAAATCCTCTTCTTTCCAAAAATTATCTTCTAATCTCCAATGATAGGCCCTTTTATACCTTTGATGTGGTTGAGACATTTAAGTATCATCTAAAAGACCTCAGTCACTCACTATGAAACATTTTTGCTTCTTGGTCTATCTACACACTCTGGCATGTGCTGGGGCTGAAACCTCCTGTTTAATATCAGATAAATCATAGATATTATACTGAAAATGACATCGTTTTCCTTTACTTCAGAGTGCTCTTTCTAGAGTACAAATATGACTGCATGACTCTCCTGCTTAAAACCCCTCAATGAGTTCTCAGAGTCCTTGTTCGTGCAATGCTTGGAATGTAATAAGGAAGACAGACAGTATGAGATAGCATGCAAGGACGCAGATAAGCAAAGTGTTGCAAAATCAAACACATAGAATGCTGAGATAGGGAATAAATGGGGAAGAGGTGAGGGGAGAGGAGCCAGGCTCTCTAGCCTCTGGCCTTAGAGCAGCAGCATATCATCAGGAATGCTAAGAGCATAAACTCTTACCTGAGAATGTCTGGGTTCAAATCCCAGTACTGCCACCTGTTAGCTATTTGATCTTTGAAGTTACTTATCCTCTCTGTGCCTAGGATTCCTAATCTGTAAAATGGGAATAGTAATCATTTCCTCTTATGATTCTTGTATTAGAAGAGTTACTATTTTTAAGTAGAAGAATGCCTGGCATATTATAAGTGATATATAAAGTTTCTTAAATAAATGTAAAATTCCAATGGCTTTTTCTACAGGTTTTAGGCCCTTGCCCTGACTGACCTAAATTTGGCCTGTGCTATTCAGCTTAGCCAACTCCTCTTCTGAGAAGCTTCCAATGATCCTCAACATTTATTGAGGTGTCCTTGTTACGTGTTACGATGCATTGTATGCATATCAGTATCACCACAATTATCCCACTGTACTGTAATTGACGCTTTTTCTCTGTAGACCATAAATACTCTACCCTTGAGAGAAAGAACTGTATCTTATTTATACTGGTATAAACAAAGGTAGGGCATATCTGATACCTATTAAATATATGATGAATGAATAAATAAATGAATGAGTGAGAGAGAAATTCTAATAGATCAGAATAAAACTACATACTTACAATTTGATAGTTTTCTTTCTTTCAAGATAAGAACACTCTTTTCTTACTGGTTAGATTTTTCACAGATTCTACATGACACCATAATCCTCCATGTCATTTATAAGGGAAGGGAATTTAGGGATTTATCTAAAATTCGAATTTACAAAAAGCTAAATTGAGTTGGATTGATTACTTCAGCTAAGTATTTACCATGTTCATCCAATATATTAAAAACATAATTTAATTTAATACATATTTATTGAGTGCCTTTCTAGGCAAAGCACTGTGAAGGGCTGAACATGAATAAAGTAGGTCTTCTGCCATACAGCAGCTTATGTTCTAGAAGAGAAGACAGAGACACAGAAAACTGTGAAACAAGGAGAAATATAATAAAAGCAAAAGGCTGGGAGATTTAAAGAAGAGAGATTTAGTTTATTACTATTTCATTTTTAAGAATCTGTTTTGTAAAGTGAAGTCCTTTTTTTTTTTTTTTTGAGATGGAATTTCGCTCTTATTGCCCAGGCTGGAATACAATGGCATGAGCTTGTCTCACCACAACCTCTGCTTCCTGGGTTCAAGCGATTCTCCTGCCTCAGCCTCCCAAGTAGCTGGGATTACAGGCATGTGCCGCCATGCCCAGCTAATTTTTGTATTTTTTAATTAGAGACAGGGTTTCTCCATGTTGGTCAGGCTGTTCTCGAACTCTTGACCTCAGGTGATCCGCCCGCCTCAGCTTCCCAAAGTGCTGGGATTACAGACGTGAGCCACTGCTCTCGGTCAAAGTGAAGTCTTAATTCCTAATTATTTTGTCTCTTCTTGTTATTAACTTCTTTTCACTTCTTGAATTTACCGTACTATCTGCACCAAAAGAATAATTTCCTGATTATATAATGCATGCAGAAATTAAAAACGCTACTTTACAACAGCCCTTT